TTGTATTAAATTTTCAAGTTTTTTTAACCAACAAATAAAATTTTATTGATATTTATAGAAAAAAAAATTAAAAAAATTAAAAACTGACAATGTCCGTAAACAGTTCAAAAAGAGTCAAATTATTTTCAAAATTTCACCGTGTATAGAAAATGCAAATATAAACAACCTGTGAAAATTTCATATATCTACGGCCATTTGTTTTAGAGTTACACCAAAAACCAAAATCGATTTTGCGTAAAAATTCCCGTTTTTCCTTAATTTTTCTTTTGTTTTTCACGTCGCTTTCGAAAACTACTGGGACATTTTTACTTTTGACCCCCCCAAAGTACCAACTAGATTCACTTTCCAATCAGAAAAGTTGCTGTTGAAGAAAATCGAAGCAGTTTTACTGTCCTAAAAGGTGATGACAGACACAAAAAAAAATTTTAAAAAAATAAATAAAAAAAAAACACACATCATTGTAAAATCAATATATTCATCGTTCCACTCAGAATCTAAAATAATAGCTTACAACAAAGTAGGTGAATTAAAAATGTTATCTAATTAAATAACTGTTTTACCTTTAACAATCTCATTGTATTGTTGTATTTTGATACATTTGATCAATTTAAATTTATAACTATCTTTAAGTTAAGCATAAGCTTTTAATTTCATTTAGGCATACTCATTTCACGTTTGTTATTTTATCATAATATCATATACAATAAAATTCTAAAAACATTTAGATTCATCATTCATTATGTACTATTTCCAACTTACACCATACTACAAAAATTCGGTATTGACTCAAAAGTTAATAACAATAATATATAAATTAAAAATATATACTTGCTCTTAAAATAGTTAGTAATTCAATATTAAATAATATTATAATAATAAATTTCATTTTTTCGAAAAAAATTCAATCAACCTACATATTGGCTATTAGGTACTAATAGTAAAATAAATTACTGTAATATAATTGTAAATATATCATAAAGTATACTTAGTAATATTGACCGCCGTCCGTAATTCGCTAATCGTTTTTCGTGTACCAATGCAACAATTTATCATTGCATTCAATTAATTCAAATTTAACACTTATACTTTGCACTTTACAGTTTACAATGACGTATATTCGATAACGAGGTAAGGTACACTCGATACCTAGTGCGGCTACTGTACAGCTGAGTGGTTGCCTATTTTAGCCGTTTTTTAAATTTACTCCCGTCAATGAGACAAGGGGACATACAATATTAATAAACAGACGCATCATATTATGACAGATAATATTTTAATAGTTGACATGTTTTGGATCCGAATAAAAAACAAGTGGAAGTATACTAGTAGATATACCACGTCTTACGGAGAATACTCGAAAAAAAGTATAAATATATATAATTATGTCATTATTACGTGTCTTTTAAATTACACATGTAGGTAACGCATACCTATTATAATATCATAGTTTTATCACTAAATATTAAAAATATAATATACTCAAATGCTTACTTTAATGAACTATAATTTTCTCCATCCTTCCGAACAATAAAATATATAATAATGGATTACTGAATTTTAAAATGGTAAAACCGCAAGGGACATTAATACATTATCCTGATTACATGTTCAGGGTTATTCAAAATGATTCATCCATTATGAAATGTTTGTATGTTTTTAATTTTTAGGTTTAGATTAATACATTATGATACAAAAAAACAATGTTTAAAATTTACTTAATGATTAGGTTAAGTTAGATTTGATGGCCTTATAAAATATGTTCTACGTGGCTTTCCTTGGTCACACGACCAACATCTAGTCAGAACTCAAACTTATTCCATGCATAGCCGGTGTAATTGTCTAAACAACACACTTGTTTAGGTCCTCTGTGGATTATGGTAATTTTGGTAAGTACACAGTATCTTTAACGGTGACACTTGAATTGCCTTTCAAATATATGTAGGTGACCTTTTTTCACTCGAATTGCCTCCAATAGCATTACCTAGATTATTAATTAATATATTGATAATTTTACACGTATTATCGTAATTATATCGATTTCCGTAGTGTTTATAAATATTATTTTGAAAACAAATTAAGGTTCAAATTTACAATATTTAAAAGTATTGGCAAATTAATTAAAACCTCCGAAACTAATATAAGATACAACATAATAATAAACTTATAATTATTTACAAACTTAAGTTTTTAACTGTGTAACAAAATTATATTTCATATAAATTAATTTTATTTATTGATCATTGGTTATTTTTAAATTTTTGAAGCAGTATATTTACCAATATGTTTATATTTTATTTATTAACGTTTAACATTAATTGACAATAAATTATTATTTAATTTATTAAAATTTCCTATAATGTAAGGTTATAAATCGATTAATTATAGCTGTCGGGAGGCGATTCGAGTAACTTTATTAAAAAAAAATTCATGGGAGGAAATTCGAGGTTCAGATGCGAGGCAATTCGTGAGCGCTCTCTTTATAACACATCCCCAATGTAAACAGTCACATGGTCTAAGATCAGGTGCCCTATGGAGCCAGGTAAAAAATATCGGATGATTCATTTTGAATAACTTTGTATAATGTATACCCGCACTAACATTATAAATTATAATATTATGTTCTACAAAATCCATAATCTCTCCTTCCAGAGCTAGTTTATTTTTACACCGTGAACATCCAATACAACAATTACATTAAAATCTTCTCATAATGATTTTAGACTTTAGATTTAGAATGATTCGTAAATTATTTTTTACAATATTTCTCGTTAGATTACATTATACCACCTTTCAAAGTCACGTAATACTTTAATAACGTTTAAACGACCAATGTACATCATATTATTATTAGTTCACGTTTTATACAAAAACATAAATGCCTATGTTACCATTGAGCACTAAAAAGATTATCGATAAAAAATGATTTTAAACAACGCAACATTATTATTTTAGTGTTGTTTCATCACTAATAGTATATTTATAATTTAAATAAAATATCTTGATTAAGTTCATATAATTCGATATCTGGTTATAAAACTTTGTACAAAACTACGATCTTTAATCGTATTTTACATTTGATAAATTACATAAATAGTATAAAATAATGTACCCAGGTCTTATAATTAATAGTGATAATAATATTATAATGGCGTATCTACTCATTCTTCTCTAATGTTGGTCGTTTCGAAGGCATTTCAGTAGGAAATTCAACCCTAATGCAATCAAATATTGTTCCAACCGATTGGTTGCCGGTTGGCCAAACAGTTGGCAAATGGCTTCGCGAAATTCTGTACTTAA